AAATTGCTAGGTACCTACTTGTAAAGTTGGGTAACTGTAACACCCACTTAGGTTGAATTTATATATTTTTGTACATTATATTGGACTCACTGCCCGTAATAAATAAATAATAATAAAATAATAATAATTTCAGACTTGTGTTTAACGGAGATCAAAGCATTAGCATGCACGGGGTTAATCAACTTTGTCGATGGAAATAATGAAATCACTTCAAAACCAGAATGCGAAATAATGGCTAAGTATTCAATAAGCTTTGTAACAATGAAAAAATATATGCAAGTATGTTCAATATGTTTCCAATATTTACCTACAGAGTGATTCGTTAAAATTGTTAGGTATACCATGGATAACAGTCCTTAAAAATGATTTTACAAAGATATAAAATAATATTATAGTAATACTAGCTGACCCGACAGACGTTGTCCTGCATGATATTTCAATCGATTAGGATTTTAGATAAAGTATGAAATGAAAGCCAAATAGTATAATAATTTCATTACTCTTATTAACATCAGTTTTTCTAAATACGTTGCTTATAAATTATTTCTAATTATTTCTGATTTCACGGCAACCAATATTTATTATTATAATAGCTTTAAAACCCATGGCAACCATTTATAAACAAAAATATCCACCATAAATCTCAACATTCCCGTTTGAGTACCTCCACGGAATGGGCCTATCGGGTCCGATTGTGAATCTAAAACATTCTAGGGTCCACTAAAACACACACAAAAAATTTCATCAAAATCGGTCCAGCCATTTAGGAGGAGTTCTCTTACAAACACACGTACAGTAGAATGTATATATAAAGATTAGATCTATATAGTGTTTATAATATAGTATAAGTATATACTTGAACCATTTTTACAAATTATACCTAAATGTTGATAGATTAGTATTAATTACTACAATTTTCAAGTCACTATAGCTCTTCCAAACCCATTATCATGGTTCCTATATTATCCTTGGCACACAAAGTTAAATAACTTAGAACATGTTATTAGAACACTTCGAATTTGGATTTTGATACGTCAAAATACTTATAAATGTTATCCGCTAAATAATATACAGTATAAAAGGAGGATTCTCATTTGTAAAACAGGAATTTGTATTTCCACAGAACAAAGAGTCCTTAAGTATATTTGAAAATTCCAAAAATCAAAATTAATCATTAGATTAAACATGTGGATAAGCATACTTGATGAATCACCCTGTATAATATATGAATAATTAAAATTATATATAATTATTTATGAAACTCATTATTCTAAATGTTGAGTTTATAAATCTAAAATAAGACGTCCACCAATACGGGGACCGAAAATATTGATAATTTGAACAAATTATTGTTTTGTTCTTGTCGAAATACGTATAACTGTTATGGTGTGATGTTGTTGAAATTTATTTAGCTAAAAGGAACTGAGAGCTTAAATGATATGATACAATTATTGGCTCACTCTAAAGAATTTGAGTACATCAATCTGAGAAGATCTGAAAAGGGAATTTTAAATATTTTGAATAAAAATAAATTACCTGGCTCAAATTTTTTACGATTTCCCATCGAAGGAGGAATAAATACTCGAGAAACTAAAATCAATTGGTAACTTTTTATTTACATTTAAAATAGGCAGACAGTTTCTTTTATATTCATGCAATTGATTTTGTATATGACTTCAAACGTAATTATCCCTTATTTATAGCCTTTTACAAGCAACCCTAGGGACGTTAAAAATTACGGACAGTTCGCTAGCACAAGACGCTAGTAAAATAATTTTAATTTCAACACGATTAACTAAAGGTATAGGCTGCATTGCTGCAAGCTACAGTACTGTGTGTAGTCTCTGTATTACACGTAACTAAGATATTTATATGTTTCAGCTTTAAGAGATATCACGTTCAAAGGTACGAAATTTGAAACAGCCCGAGTCGCGTGCATTTTAGCAAAATGCGTAACAACAAAATTATGGGAGCAATCAAAGTTTGTTTCAAAACTTATACCAAGAGTAGGACAAGTTTTATCAGGAGAATTTGTTTTAAATGGTAAAACTACATTGAAATCAATCAGGGATACAGATCCTAGAGAATTAGAACGGGTAAGTTGTGTAATTTATGTGGATTAAATTTAATTTCAAATAAATATTTTTAAATAATTTCTTACATGTATATTAGAAATTATTATTGAATATTTGAATTAATCTTAATATTAATTTAATTAATTAATGTTTATATTTATTATAATAACTAATAAGTAAAAACATTATTATTATTAAATGGATACATAAATGGGTATACCTATAAATAATATATCGGAAAAATGAGTAATCAAGTATTTTTTTAAATATTTATTTACATCCTTCGACTTGTTTATTAATGAAGATGATGTTTATATAGGTACCTATAACCTAGTAACTTTTCCGTGTATTTATTGTATAGACCCATAAATGGGCATAGAAGTTGTAATGATGACACCACGTTTATAGGACGCATCTTTTTATCTTATTATCCTTGACCTGGGAGTCAAACCACTTGCATGGTATAGGTTAAAGAAAAATGACAAAATTAATTTTATAACTTAAAAACTTAATGAACAATAATTAATTAATTACCATACGGTCTATGTTGATTTACATCATAATACAGACCAATACCCACCACCGAAATGCATAGTTAATAATTTTTATAGGTAATACTTTGATGAGTAATGACTGTCTAAGTGTAAAGTTAAAGCATGATAATAAGTGTTTTTACATTTTAAAGCTACATAAATATCAAAAAATATATAACCATGCTCCCACAAACCATTACAATATACAATATTTTGTATTTGTTTAATGGGTAACGAATAAATTTTATTATTTTCCCAGTTCCTTAACCGACAGCCTCCGTTTGGAAACCACATACACGACTTTATCCGACAGATTCCAAAATATAAAGTGCGTACAACTTTTGATCAAATTTCAGAACAAGTTTTTGTAACACTCCTTCTAATTGACCACGATAAGATTTCGGCAAATGTACTACTACAAACCGTATCGGTTTTAGTGGGTGATTCTGAAAATCGTCTACTAAAAGTTCAACAAATACGGTAGTATAATATATTATTAATATAACAGAAATAATATAGCCATTTAGGTATATTACTATAATACTTTTTTTTTTGTAGTAATGAAGAATTTTTGAAACAAGGAGGAGTTATAAATATGACTACATCATTACAAAATACATTTTTTTCGGATAAGCCAAACTACGAAATTACTATTTGTTTAATGAGTGATTATTGGGGTATATTTTTACTTTTTACATAATAATATAATATACCTAATACATTATTAGTATATTATAGTTTATAGTTAAATTATGTATTTGTTTCGAATAATATTATTTATAAGAGTTCCTATATTTATTTGTCTATAGTCGGAATCGATATTGAGATTAAGTTCAAACCAGGCAGTCACGAAGTACATGTTAAAGAATCAATGAGTGAAGAAAATTGTGATCCCGAATCGCCGTTGAAAAATTTCCCATCTCCACCACAGAAAAAAGTATGGTATTAATTCAGTAATGTTTTTTCATGCGACTATAGGCATCTATGTATCATATATTATTTTATAATTTATCGAATTATATTGTTGTACATTTGAAGAAGCGAACTTCGAGAGTAGCGAAACAAGGCAATAAAGACAAAATACAATTAAATATAAAAAAATATTTGCACAACATTCCTTCTAAAGATCAAGACCCTAAAGTCATGAATAAACTGCGTGTGGAAGAGGATACTGATGTTGAGCGTTGTGCCAATGAAAGTAATGTTGCAACATGTAGAATTGCAGGCGAAATGTTCGAAACACAAACTAATTGTCGAAACAATGGTAGAACGTTTAAATTATTACCGGTTAACATTTTAAATCTTTAAATTCAATAATAAAACTGTTGTTGTATTTTTTTATTACTTAGGACAGTTAAATGAATATTTTAAATTCGACAAAGACGATTTAAATAACTATTTCTGTTACGATGAGTAAGTTTTACGTATTCAAATATTGTGTTATATACCTACCTACTATTATATAATTAAACACCGTTGCCTAAAGCATATCTTTGTATCAAAGGTTAATCAATGACGACGTATTTGGTGATTTATTCGTACCCGAAGATAACGATCGTGTCATCTCTGAGGCATTTGATTCGGCGATAGAGAAGCGTTGTTTTAGAGAAAGTGAGTTATTTTTAATTGATATCTATCCAACTGTTAGAGTCTAGAGGAATAATAATTGTTTACTGAACATTTTAAATTGTAAATTTACGTTGAAAACTGTGCGTGTAAATTGTATATGAATTTAACACGCCACTATTTCTGGTTTAGGTGCGATTCAAACAAATTATTTGAAAAATAAAATTAGGACCGAAGTTATCGAACCGTACGTATTATTAGTTATTATTTTTGTTTTTGTTATTATAACATATTAGTATTTAATTAAGGTTGAGTATCTACCATTGCTACGTAATATTCAATAACTTGATGCTGCACTATCTATATATAGTTATTACATATACATTTACAAACACAATGTAATTTATGCAATGCTATTATGCACTGCTTATATTATTATAAGTAGTGCGTAATGATAATAATTGCAATTATTTCCAACACTGCTCCCGTAACGTAGAACAAATCATCACAGTTTATTCGTTTGGATGCAGAACAATAATATAATATATAGGTACTATTATACTAGTATAATAGGTACCTGGTACATGTATAATATACATTGTATATAGGTTTCAGAATTAATTATATAACAATAACCGTTTAGTCTTTCGTTTACCGTTTTTAGACATCGTTAATAATACTCGATAATATTTTACGAAGCTATGTCGCTTATTAACTATGTAAGTTCAATGTTATAAATGATTATAATTTATAATACATGATATTGGTAGAAAATATATTGTAATCTTCAAAGAATGAAGTATTTGTAATTATTTAAATTTTCAGCATGCAATTGAAATGCCCCAGAGACGACATTTGTTCGAATGAGAAATTAGAATACGATAAATCGACAATAAAAGAAAAATTGGGCTATGCTAAACCGGTGGTAGGTGTACTTCTCCCAGAATCTAATCAAATCGCCCGTGAAAATGTAAATCGGTACTACAAGGGAGGTAATTTTAAAATTATTTTCATTTTTCTAAATATAAGATTAAAAATGGTGGGCATGTGGGTGTCACTCTGCTGTACAGTAGGTTACAAGTGGGTCACTGTAAAGGATTGTGTAAAATTTGAATTCAATGATATAATATTATTGTATAAGAAAAACGATTCTGAGCGAAGACGGTCAGTCAGCCTATGTTATTATTACTGAGTATATTTGATATTATTGTGAATAAAGTAATTTATATTTGTAATGACTCAAAAATTACGATAGGAAATAAAATACGACGCCTGTCGATAAATATATTAAAATCGTAAGACTAAGCAATTACCTTCCTCCAGGTGATCGGAGGGCTCTCGAGATCGTGTTTTCGAGAATTAAATCAAATACACTAAACAACACAATTGTATAAAAAGCATGCACAGATAATATAATAAATGCAATTAACATAAAATATTATATTAATTGCCTTACCTGATCCGCAGTCGATTGTGAATTATTTTGTAAGGGTTTTAATAGACACAGAGTAATATTTTTTAAAATTATAACTCGAAATAATAAACGCACTGATTATTGATCACATAAGGAGTCCAGAATGTCGCTCGTTGAAATCGGTCTTTTTAGACTTTTTTTTGGAGGTTGTTACTTTGTGAATGGTGCTCATGCACTGGTTTAAGGGATGACGAGAAGATGCTGACCAGAGAGTGGTAGGCGGCTTTATCAAAAGGTTATCGTGAGCTTGGGAACTAGATTATTCTTTGGCGGCAGATACCCTTTTTTTCCTTTCCTTTTCTCTGGCGGCATCATATAATAAAGTCACACACCCTGCGTTTTACCGTTATGACTTATGAGTGCTTGCCGATATCTTAGTTGTCGTTAATAATGATTTTATTTGATGTGACCGATTTCTACAAACGACAGTCTGGCCGTTATTTATTAAGTATTCTGTAAGATTTTAGTTTATTATAATGGTGTGTGAGCATATCATTACATATTTAACCTATTTACGTGGAACTTTGTTTTAAATTTTTAATCCTTAACTATAAAAGTTGAAAATTATATACATTGATGTAAAATCAATACATTCATCGCTCCGCTTAGAATCTAAAATGTGACTTAGATTTAAATATGAGTACAATTTTAAAATGCTCGTATGGAGATCAATAAAATTAACACCAACCTAGTGCTACTATATTTAATTTTTAAATTTAAAAATAAAGAATCCTAGATTATAGTTTGTTTTTTATTTTCCAGTAGATCAACTGCAGGAAAACAAAGAAAACGTCAATCCTTATAAATCAGAACCGCCGTAAGGATATAATATTATTATTATGTTTGAACTCATAAAAACAATAAATACATTTAATTTGCAATAAAATAATTGTTTTATCACTGCACTGCAGCACAAAAAAACGCCTTCCGTTCTGTGATCTACAAAAATATCACGCCGAGAGCAAACAACACGAAACCTCGTCCATACCATCGACCATTGGATATAACGCGAAGCCGAGATTTTTTGGGAATTCAAAAAGTGTAAATAAAAATCAGAATGAGTTCTCTTCAAGGTATATATTTTTATAACAATAGTATTACACTGAAACAAAAAAAAAAAATTTTAAAATATACCTATTAGTGTTTAAATTCAGTGCATGTTGGGAGTGAGAGTATACTTTGAATCTGTTTGAATCTAAGATTTTAAAACTGAATACAAGATTCCTTATAAGATTATCTACCTTTATCAAAAAAAAAAATGTCTATAAGAAAGTCAAATTAAATTTTTATGAGCTTTCGAAATTCAAATTTTTACAACATTGGATATTCACTCGATTTCTCATGAAACGGATTTCCTTATTTTGTTGTAATTCAAAAACGAATAACTGTAGATACATGAAAATTTCACTAGATATTTATATTAGCATTTTCTATACACCATACAATTTTGAAAATATTTTGACTCTTCTTGAGCTGTTTACGGACATTTACAGTTTTTAATTTTTTTAGTTTTTTTTTCTATAAATATCAATTAAGTTCCATCTGTTGGGCCAAAAAGTGTAAAAATTTAATACAAGTCTCCTGATATATTGTTGCAATATCAGTTGAAAAATATTAAAAATACATAGGCACAATTTTTTTTTATAAGCATTTAAAGATCGAATTTTGACAAAATTTATCAAATTTAAAATTTAATAATTATTTTGTAGTTAATAATTTATAAAATGTTCAACTTTTATAGCTACCTAAGGATTGAAAATTTAAAACAAGATTCCACATAAGTAGTTAATTCTGTTACCAAAAAATCTAAACAATACAATATAAGAACAGTTTATTTTTATAGTCATCTTAAGTTCAAATATAGATGAAATTACATAATAAAAAACCTAGAATAACTATTTTAGTTACCTATTTTGTTGTGATTGTATAATATTATTCATGTTTACTTGAAACTTCTAAGGTGTACTATTTATATCTATGATAGTATCACGGTTTGTCGTTGATGTATAACGCGTTATAAGTACCTAATGGATATTGTGATATGATTAATTTGGAGTTTATTATAGGAACCTATTAAAGGTCAATTTTTTTTTTAGTACCATAGATATGTATAGTATAATATGTCTTAAACCTAGACTGACATACCGTCTCCGCTCAGAATCGTTTTTCTTCTACATTGATATTATATCATTGAATTCAAATTTAATACCATCCATTATACAGTGACTCACTTGTAACCTACTGTACAGCAGAGCACCTTTTTTTAAAACATTTATTAAAATACATTTTTACAATCTGTACTAAAGTGCACTGAAATAACTAATAAGTAAAATGTTTAGCTATAATAATATAATGACTAATTAGGAAGGGCAGTGAGAGACTTGAAGGCGCTTCACATTAGGAGCACCTGAGCTTGAGTGATAATGAAATTGTTACATATTTTTTTCCACTTGTAATAATAATTATTATTGTTATGCCCTATAATGCCTAAAATTTCTGTGTTTGAAATAATAGAAATTTTATATTTCCGTAATTTGTAAAGTATTAATTTATTATTAAATGTAGATATGCTCATTTTTAGGACGACTTGGAGTCGGTGGGATAACGCATTTGGTTGGAAATCTGAACAGAATTTCTCGACGATAAATCTCGAACCCATCCAGAGAGATGACGCTGTCGTGGGTCGATTGTCCCGCCAAATAGAAAACAACTTGAAGGCCCCTTTCGATTTTCGTATTGGCCGGGGAACGGAATATCTGCCCGAAGTGACTGAAATCCGTCGCAGTGAATATCCAGGTGACCCATTGGTTCCGGTCGATCATGGTAGAGTCATGGTCGATCAAGGACGGTCTGACAGAGTTTTCAAGGTACCGACCGCCCGGACGCCTAGATGCAGTGATCGTCTTCCCGGTAAAACGACGCTGGACAAATATTTCCGAGTGGCCAAAACTTCACGGCGGCTAAGGGATCTAAATTTCGGAGGGTTTTCTGCGAAAGCATCAGACGTGAAAAGTCCTGTCGAAAGACCGTCGTCCGGCACAGCAGCGCAGCAAAGGACTGTAGGCCTCGGGGACCAGAAACTGTCACTCACAAACCGTTTTTTCAACCGTGAGTTTCACCAACCTATACCTATGTTTTATATTTTATACATTCAGTGGCGTATTTACGATTTTGGCGACCTGGGAACACACATTTTGGCACCCCTTGTTTTCTCTGTTTCCTTTTACTCATTGTCACAAAAAACTCTAATTTACAATATACTTCTTCTCTCAGTTAATAGTGCAGGACTTGAAATCGGTATAAACCGTTATAAAACCGAAACCGAAAAAAATTGGAAACCGGTATTAAATTCAATACCAACTCCAAAAATATGGATACCTGTATTATAATTAAAAACCGAAAATATAGTTTAAAAAACGGTATTTTTTTTAAAAATCTTTGTATCTTGACATTTTGGAAAGTTTACTTTACACAATAGGCGATCAAACTCAATAGGCTCGATCCAGCGATTCAAAAAAATTATTAAACTAAGAATGAACCTAAATAGTAAAGGTCTTGAAACCGGTATAAACCGTTTAAAAACTGAAACTGATAACAAAATCCAAAACCAAAACCGAAAAAAAATTTGAAACCGGTGTACAAATCGAAACCAAAACAGAAATTTTTTCAATCGGTTTCAAGCCATGTAAAAGTGATAATTGATAACCCAAAATGTATATTTTCCCCTCATTGCATTTATGCTTCCACTAATATTTAGAGAACACTTTTATTTTATCATTAAAAATATATACTCCGTTTATTCCTAATTAAATAAACAAATTATAATTTTGATTTTAGCCTTTTAGCCTTTTTTTACGACAATTTAATAAAATACATTTCATAATTATATTACATAGAAATATGTACCTATAGAAATGAAAAAGATATTATAAGAAAGATACAGGTATTCACTTATCAGTTATCACTAATATAATTTCTCAACAAATCCAATAAAATAAAAAAATAATTTTGTCATAACCTCTAGCAACGGCGCCCTTTGAGAACTCAGAATTTTGCGCCTTGGGGCATTCCCCCCCTAAATGCGCCTCTGTATACATCCGTTTCTTCTCGTCAGTATGCACGATGCCTGTAACATTTTAATTAATGCATAATATATTAATATAAAGTGTCGAAAACTCGTTACGGGTATTTGGTATTCGGTTATTGTGTCGAATCGTGCCTACACATTTTTTCGAACTTGGCACGAAATTGGATATTCGATATAAAAGATTATAACATCAAATTCGCTCTAAACTTTAAAATGATTCTGGTAAGTTTCCCCCGTGCCTTCCCCTCTTATTCATTGGACTTCCCCCCCTGAAAAAAAATAAAAATTTAAAATATTAAACAAAAATATACAATGCAAATCAATAAATGTACAAATGATTAAACTAATCACTAATTTATATATAAATATAGTTGAATAATACATTAATACGTCATAATAATACTATTTCTAATACAAATTTCACTAATATAAATATTAAAAAATATTAAACAATAATATACAAATTACAAATGCAAATAAATGCATTTTTATTAAAAAATTGTTAATTAATATATAAATTTAATATAATCAGGGTTTAGTGGGAATGAATTCCAGACGGGCCGACTATAATATTATGTGTAAAAATTTATATATATTGATTCCGGGGGTGGGAGGGTGAAGGGACGTGGAGAGGAAAGTCCAAAGACCGTATAAAATATAATAATCACCTCACAATGTCATATAGGTAGTCTAGGGTTAGGTTAACCTTCCTGGTATTATTATTTTTTGATGATTTATTTTCTTATTATTTTCATTGACTTCAAACATTTTTCGAGAGAAAATTTCGCTCCACGCTTGTCGTTACAACTCACAAATTGCGCTAAAAATTGATTTTAGAAGACGAGTGGAGTGCCGAGTCCGAGTGATCAGATGTATGTATATTATTATCCCACCTGCAATAACACTATAATCCATAGTTCGCGGCGCAGACGCGTTTCCATGATTATATAGTGGTTATTATTTCCACGCACACTAGTAATATAATGACATTAATAACGGTTAAACGGTGTAAGGCGATGATGATAAATAATAATAATAATAATAATAACAATAAGTCAAATACATTTTACGGCTCATACACTCGCAGCTAGACTACTATAATAATATGTACATAGTTTTATCGATTATGTAATTCACGTGTGTATATAACTCTTCGCCGCCGTAAGTCACGTTATTTCCGCCGGTTTACTGACATCAAAGGAATGTTTGTATTACTACAACGTTTCGCGATTACCATCGCCCCGATGAATATTGTTTTCGTCATTTCTCCGACTGCCGCCGCGTCTCCGATATTGTTTTTAACCGTTCTCTCGCGACGGATCGTTCTTACAAGTTGTGCGGGTCGTATTCGTGTGGTATAAGGCGGAAAGAGGTGCTGGTGCTGACGATTATGATGTGAGGTATTGTTGCAGCGTTTACTTTACGCCAGGGTCTCATTTACCTCATCATCGTCGTCGGGGGGAGGGGGCAATTTGTGTTTGTTATATTTTACAATATCCCCATAGGTACCTACTTGTTTTTTATATTTTTATTATTTTTCATATCGATCGAGTTGTTTAAAATAACGAATCATATATTAATCAATGATATTAGCCCCCTCAAATATGAAATAAATAATACAGCTCCATTATAATATTATCTTCTATATTATTCATTCAAGTTTATAAATGTATTGTACTGGTACGGTTTCCCCTTTGCCGTCTATACGTAACGGAGAGTGAAACAACACAGCCG